CGTGCATTGTTGGTTTGACTACATTGCAAATAAGCCTTGTTATTTATTCAGTGGTCTGTGTTTGTAGAAGGCATGTGGGCAGGCAGTCTCTGATGGCTGGGGGTCCTCAGCTTCAGCATTATTGCATCAAATGTTGTATCTGGGGCCTGAGCAATCTCGAACGCAGTAGGCCCCCCCCCAACTGAACAGCATGGCCCGCTTCAGTTCAGGGGTCAGTCACCTTATTGGCTGTGAGGAAGAACTCAAGCCGGGTGGCATAGGAGTCCCATTTCCCTGGGACCATGACACCAAATGCCTTGATGTGGCCCTGGGTGGCCTTGAGGTCTGCTCTGAGTGATCTGCCTTGTGGCTGCAGTCAGTGATTTCAGCTCAGCTGTGGTGACAGTTCCCCAGCAGTAATTTCAGCTTGTGGAAGCTAGCCAGGGCTGCGTACCTAGCCTTGCATCCCACCTTCATCACCAATGAGGTGTAGGTGAGTTCCTATGATGCAAGGCACAGTGATAACAGCAAGAACCTTTATTGAACTACATACTCCCAACGTGATTGGCTGTCTATACTTCCAAGCTGTGAATCGTGACTCGGAGTTTAAGGGCCAATGGCAGAGGCCCCAATCCTGAAATGTTCTGTGATTGGATTGGATATTATGTATCGAATCAGAACACAGGAGCTCAGAATCCTTAGCCCAGACTCAATGTCAGGCAAACACAGACCCCTGAATACATAACAAGCATCTCTCTCTCTCTCCAGTTTGCTGCTTTTTCATCTTACTCACATCGCTGAACTCTCAACTCTGGCCTTTGTCTTTTTCTAACTACCAGCCAGTTGAAGGAGGGTGGCAAAGCCATTTCCCATCAGGCACAGATCTACTTCCTTTGTTGCCTTAGTAGCCCATCACTTGGGCTATCACCGCACCAGGAATATTGCTTATATTTTAGCACTTGCCGGATCCAGGGGTTAGAAGAGTCTCTGCATACAGCCTACCCCACCCAAACTCATAACATTTTTTTATTATTAAACATGTATTTATGCACTGCCTATCCCCCTCACTGCACTCAAGGCAGCTTACAACCTTAGCTTCCCTGTTTTGTTTATTTTCATATTTATAAATTATTTCAATTGTCAGTCTGATTGGCTTTTGTGCATAATTTTGTTCTTGCACGGTTTGCCACAACTTCTAGCTCCTTTGCGTTTCCTCCCCTCTTCATTACCAAATGGCACGTGCACTTGTTTGCATCAGTAGAACACCAAACGAAAAGAATATGAAGCCAGCCATGTATGCAGTCACATCTGACATGGTTTATTTCCCAGTGTTTCTTCAATGCATATGTGCACATTAATAAGAGAGGTGGGGGTAGAGTGGAGAGATACAAATGAACAGAAAGACATAGCAAACCGAGTAGTTCTGGAACTACTTTTAGACATTATCAAACTGAAATTTAGGAGGAGTGGAAGGCTCCGTAGAGTGAAAGGTAAAGAAATGAAATGGGGTAACCCTCTCATTCCTATTGTCCACTACAATTTTATTTATGTAGGGTTGAAACCAGTGGCTACCCTTGTGCTCACGGAACACATTTTGATCCTACAGAACCCTCCACAAGTCGAAAAGGTAAAAAAAGGGGGGAAGTAAAGGACTCCAGTCAAACTTGACTCTGGGGTTGCGGTGCTCATCTCGCTTCAGGTCAAGGGAGCCGACGTTTGACTGCAGACAGCTTTCCGGGTCATGTGGCCAGCATGACTAAACTGCTTCTCGTGCAACAGGACACTGTGACAAGTGCCAGAGTACACAGAAACACCGTTTACCTTTCCGCTGCAGCAGTACCTATTTATCTACTTGTGCTGGTGTGCTTTCAAACTGCTAGGTTGGCAGGAGCTGGGACAGAGCAACAGGAGCTCAGGTCATTGCACGGATTTGAACTGTCAACCTTCCAATCAGTTATTTAGACCACAGACTAATTCCCTCTACGCCTACACTACCTCCCACCACATTCTGGAGCCTCCAAACACTTTGGACCTGCTATGGGGTGTGGGGTGGCTCTCAGGATCGCAAGAAGGAGATCGAATCAGCAGAAATTGCCTCCTCCCCCTCTAGGAGTGTTAGGGCACCATCTGGAACCCACCCTTAGAACTGAACAGTTCTGCTAAGCATAAAATAGCCATGCTCCCCTCAAAATGACTTACAAGGTAACATTCAAGACACAAAAGTAAGAAAGACTAGGGGAGGAAAGAGGAAAAGATGCAAATCTGGAGAATTACATCATGACCAGGTGGCACAACCACTGAAGGAATCGGTTCTCCCAGGAAAGGATCCACTTGGCAAAGCCAATGAAAAGTCTCACCTCTCCATCTGGGAGGTGCCAGGTGGAATGGATTAAGTCGTCTTTAATTAGAAAGGCATAACAGTTCACAGGTAATTTATTTACATCTGGAATAAATGTGAGGGGTTTTTTTTAGGGGGGAGGGTGTTGAAAAATCAAATATTCTTATCCAAAGCCCTTAATGACATGTGTAGTGAATCATACTCCTTTCTTAGTATCTTGAATCACTTTAATTGTTTGATTATACTGTGACCTTCAATATTTCAGTATTTTATACATCATAATCATCACCATTTTCATCATATTTCTAACTTATAAAGCATTTCAGCAACTAGTTGCTATATGAAGTGACAGAATTAAAGGGAACAGGCTATCTTTTTTAAAAAATGTACATGTTGTTCCTTAAATGGCTCTTTCATGTCAAGAGTCTGTAATTAACCTGGGTCTCTCTTTTTTCCCTCCCTTTTAATAAACATCAGTCTCCAATTAGTCTCTTGCTTGTGTAAACAAGATTGGAGCAAATTAAAGGGTTATTATCTGGGGATAACAGCTTGTGTGAAATCCCACCTGCGCCAATCAGAGATTTCTGTGTTAACCTGAAGAATTTCAGTGGGGATGTCAGCCTTTTAAATATTAAGCTAACTTGTCGTCTGGGTTTGATGGCATAAGCAGAGTCTTCCAATCAACCAATGCTTTATTATTGCAGGAGGGACAAGAATATCACATTCATGAAACTCAAAGTTGTTCATTCTTTGGATATTCTCCTGTACTCTTTGACATGTGAGGAAAGCAAACAACCATCATCTAGCATCACGTACATTTTCCTCTTTGTTCCTCTTGATGAATTTTATCCCAAACCAAGCAAGTAGTAGATAGCTCAGTTGGTTAGAGCAGTCATTTTCAACCAGTGTGCTGTGGCACCCTGGGGTGCCTTGAATGATTGTTGGGATGCCACGGTCAACACCAGCCTCTGCCCCTCTTTCCTTTCCCCCTCCTCTGATGCCCTCTCGCACCTCTCTCCTAAAGGCTTGTATGCCTGTTTGTTGCAGCAGCCCTGGCTCCAAGCTCCCCAGGAGAATGGTGCCTCTGGGGCTGGCCAGGGGAGAGGAGAGGAGGCTGAGGGAACACTCCCCAAGGGAAGGTGTTTGAAAAGAGGTGAGGGGCTGCCAGCTCTGCAGGCAAGGGGCAACATAACTGGGCTCCTGAGCCCCGCAGGGGAGCTGCAGAAAGAACGCAGTTGGTCAAGGGAGCTGTGGACTCAAAAATGTTGAAGACCTCTGGGTTAGAGTGTAGTGCTGATGACACCAAGCCCACAGGTTCAATCCCCATAGGGGGCAGCTATATATTCCTGCCTTGCTGGGGGCTGCACTAGATGATCACCATGGTCCCGTCCCACACAACAGTTCTATGATTCTAAGTAGTAATGTGGCTGAAAATCTAGGGGTTTTTTATGGTGTGGAAGAAAAGGTGTCTGCCCACTGGTCTTTGCTCTGACACCCACTTGCTTCCCAGCCTTTGCCTCTAACATCAGTACATCTGATGAGAAAGGGGGAGCAGAGAGGAGAGGAGCACAAAGAGTCTTGATTTTTTTTTTTAAAGAAGAAATGCTTTGTGCATCCTTAGCTAATCTTGCCCCTTTCTAAAATTTATTTATTGGTGTGCATTTTTATTTTTGTGAATCAAGAAAAGAAAACACACGACAAAAACAAAACAAAACACAAAACAGGAATTAAGAGATTTTCTCTGTACGGTGGTGGCACTGGAGGAGGAAGAGAAGTGGGGGGGAACGTGCCACCCCCGGCAGCGCGATCCCGGTAAGGTGCCACCACTGCTGCCCACCCATGCTGGGCACCATGCCCTGCAGGTTGGCGTGCCCCACCCCCAGGTAGTACGCCAGCCCTGCCCCCCTGCTCTCTGCCCCCCCCGGTGCCGGAGCATGAAGCTCTGCCACTGGGTGGAGGGTTTGTGTGCTGTGTCCTGTTGGTAGCACTTGCCCTTCTGATAGGAAATGCTCTTCAGGGAGGGGACCAAAAAAAACAATGGGAGGGTTGAAGAGGGTCATTTGCCGGCAAGTGAGAAATGTCCCTATTTTCATCGGAGGAATGTTGGAGGGTTTGTCAGTGCTCATGCTAAATCAATGCACCCATGAGAACTTTGGAGGGAAGGGGATGTGTTAGCTGTGTATGCATGGAATTTAATCCTTGTTAGCAATCTCACACCCACTGACAGGTTGAGGTCAATTGTTTCCTCTTTAATACACCCACCCAACCAGAGAACACAAAAGAATTACCATGTAAATGGTGACTTCAAACAATAAGCTGCTCTTAGGGATACAGAAATGCAACCAATAACTGAGCTGCCACAATAAGGCTGAGGCAATCAGCAGCCATTATTATCATTCACACTGCCTACTTAGCAACAGCTGTTGTTTAATAACAAAGCACTCTAAAGGAATACAGCCGCCGCCGCTTTGAAATGTTTCGCAGTGTAAGTGTCATATACCAGGTTATTAAAACGCTCTAATTACCGTGTGACAAATCCCTGCCTCGTTTCTGAGTTCAAGAGTCGCCGCATGGTCTGTTCGTTTCGATTTTTTGGGAACCGGCCCTGCAGAACCTGACGCAACTTCTTACTCGATGGCTTTAACCAGATCCACGGGCTGGGGGAATGTTACTCAGACAAAAATACCCAATAGCTCCATTGGCAGAGCATGAGACTCTGGATCTCTTGGGGTTGTGGGTTTGAGTCCCTTGTGGGGCAAAATATTCCTGCATGGCAGGGGACTGGACTAGAGGACACCCCCTGTGGTCCCTTCCAACTCTACAGGTCCATGAGTTTATGAAATGAATACTGAAGGCTGAAATTATACGCACCACTTTCTCAGGAGCAGGGCCCGTTTTCCTTTGTAGGATTTACTTCTCTGGGGACGTGGCTGGCTCTGTGGGTTAAACCATGGTTAAACCATGGATTTGAATCCATGGAAGGGGTGGGGCAAAGGCACTTTAAGCCCTGCCCCCAGTGTTTTGACTTGCTCAGTGGGGAAGGTCTGCAGTGGGCTTTTGCTTGTGTTGACTTGAACATAAACACAATGGCTCATTCGGTTGGGGAAGTTGGGATAGTTCAGTTGGTCAAGCGTGAGACTCTTAATCTCAGGATCATGGGTTGGTTGGGCAGAAGATTCCACATGAGAGGTTCTACTTACATTCAAATCAATGTTAGTAAATGTTCCCTGTCGATACAAGGAAAGCCGTAGACGTACCATGTGTGGTGATTCAAGCAAAGATGTCTGAGGTGGGACTTGTGAACATCTCCTTGACCTCCCAACCCTCCTGGATTTACCTTGTATGAATTCAGGAGAGAGTTCTGCCACACATTGTGGGGTGGCCTGGAAGAGGGCCGTCTCTGTGGCAGCCCCTAAGTTGTGGAACTCCCTCCCCAGACAGGTGTGTCCAGAACTTTCACTCTGTAGCTCAGCAAATGTCAGACACTGTCAGACACTGTCAGGACTCTGAAGTGTGAGGGGCAGAGGCAGGGGACCTGGAGAGTGCACTATGTAAAAATGGGTCACCTAGGGTCATTGTGAAATCAGGTGATTGACAGGTGGGTGGCTCTGCTCGTAGGGGAAAGATTGAGGATTCATCCCATCAGCCAGATCCAGTTCCCAACTCTTGGATTATAGAATTGCAGCCTATATGGAGCAGTGCTCTTGTTTTAAGCCAAAAGGAGATGTAATGGAAGAGCTACAACTGAGGGAAGGGGAACCGATATATTCTTGTGCCCGGCCAACACACATAGAAGCACAAAATGGTGCAAGAGTTGCAGGTCCTCCATTTTACCTTAGGGAGGCAACCCAAGGGGGAAAGGAAGAAGGAAGCCTAACAAGTCTTGTGATCATCAGGGAACTTGGATATTCACATATACTGCACAGTATTACAGAATAACAACATTCGAAGAAGTGATGCATAATTCCTCTGCTGCAATATGGAGACAGAGGCTCATTCAAAACACATGGCTTCTCCCAAAGAATCCTGGGCGCTGTGAACTGTAGCTCTGCAAGGGCCAAACTAAATCCCCAGGATTCTTTGGGGAAAGCCATGTGCTATCCCACTAGAGAGTAGTCTTCTCTCTCACTGCTCTCACTCCCTCTCTCTCTGCTCCCACCACGAGACCATAGTAATATTCCAAAGCAAACAGAAATCACTATCGTGTGATTTGTATGCTACTCAAGTACTTAGGGTCTTGAGTGTCATTCTGATACTCATAATGATAGGTATAGAGTCATATATATAAAGGGAACCCTGAAAATGAAGTCAAAGAGATGGCAACGTGGGGAGATTATAGTTTATGGATAGCTGCCAGAGAGCAGAAATGAACTTCATGAAATTCAAATATATTGGTTTTTACTCTTTCTGAGCATTTGCATCCGGATATAGAATGCTATTAACATTCAAATAAGTACCAAAGAAAGGGAACAATAATGTTTAAGGCCTTGTCTTTGTAGCACGGTAACAAATTTCTATTATTCTGTGGCAACCAGACAAGAGTCAAAAGTGAGGCTGTTTATCTTGATAATGGCCTGATTTGCTATAGGCAGGAATTTGAAGTACTGGGAGGGTGTGGGTGATGGAAAAATCAAGCTATGCGCTGCTGAAATTTCCATAGTTTCTCCGTCTCATGCCCTTTTGAGAGCCATGTACTGCTGAGACAAACTGAATCAGATTTTTGGGAATCTTCTGATTAGCACATGCGTCCAACTGCTCAATGCCGGGGACTAGCAAGAAGCTTCACTCAATGATGAGCTGTCCCAGGGCATCTGGATAGCTAGCACTGGAGTCCAGCTGAAATGGGAGATGGGAGTTTAGCCCAGTCCAGCACAAAAAATTCATGTCTTGATAACTTGGGGGTGTACAGACCTGGATGACTGGAAGGACATATCCTTAACTGTAGACCCTTCAAGTGTCCCTATTTTCTAGGGACAGTCCCAGATTTACAGAAGCTGTCCTGGTTTCTGATTTGATCTTGGAATGTCCCACTTTTCCTTAGCTTAGGGTGTCCCTATTTTCATCAGAGAAGTGTTAGACTACATGTGACCCTAGAGCCAAAGAGATGAGTAACTATACAACCTTTAGAAGACATCTGAAGGCAACCCTGTATAAGGAAGTTTTTTTAAAAAAATGTTTAATGTTTTTTTATGTTTTTATATATGTTGGAAGCCACTCAGATGCATGCCTAGAAAGTGGACCATTTGGGGCAGCGAGGAGCCTGCGGGTGCCCAAGCCACCGTGTCACTCCCAGGAGAGATGCATGGCTTGGGCACATTGCAGGCCCCACGGTTAGTGCTGCCCAGCATTTTGTCACCCCCCTCAGTGGTGACAACTGTGGTGGCCCGCCCCCACCGCACCCCCCTTCCTCCTCCCCTGGCTACACGGATTCAGTGGAAGGCAGCTCCCTATGTTCCTATGTTCACATGGAATGAGGCACGCTGAGGCCATCTTAAATCAAACATGGCCCCAGACCAGTCTATGCTGGCTGTAAACTGATTCTGAATGCTCCCAGATGTGCCCTTTTCCTTTCTTCTCACATTCAAAGCTGAGTCCATCACACATGCTATCCAGGAGAAGAAGAAAAACTTTAATTAGAACAACAGCCAAATTGCTGCACACTTCTATCAATCAGTCATGTCATGCCTGCCTAATAATCCAAGTAGGCGTAAACGGAATGCTGAAGCTTGCTTGTGCCAATGGTCCGGCGACCACTTTGTGTCACCACTTCCCCAAATGCATTTGGGGATGTGGTGTGTGGGAGGAGATCGGCAAATAATTAAACAAGCGCCGAATAAACCATGTATTGTTTGGCTGCAAAATGTAATTACAGAGAGAAAACCCAGTGTGTGTGTGTGTGTGTGTGTGTGTGTGTACGGAATACACTGAAACATTCCTGAGGCTCCCAGGGAGTTCTTTCTGGCACATCTGGGCACCTTACAAATATATGCAAAACAACTATTAATTGCAGGGTTGTCCATCGGGATGGCTCAGTGCACACTAAGTGCCTTTATTTGTCCCACAAAGGACTGACATGCCGACATGCTAGTTAATTGTCTGCTTGATTGAGCAAGTGAGCATTAGACCATGCCCTGCGAGCTGCCAAACACATATTCTACTGCCCTGCCAGGACACCAAAGCATGGGAGAGTCTCTCAGGTCCTAGAAGGTTTAACGCAGACCATCCAAGTGCAGACCCTGTTCTCCAGGGACAGTGCCGGATTTAAAGAAGCCATCCCAGTTTCTGGTTTCATTCCAGAATGTCCCACTTTTCCTTAGGATGTCCCTATTTCCATCAGAGAAACGTTGGAGAGTATGAAGTTATGCAACTCCCCCAACCCAAGGACTATACAACCTTTAGAGGATATCTGAAGGCAGCTCTACATAGTTTTATTTTGTTTTTATATATACAGTGGTACCTCAGGTTACATACACTTCAGGTTACATATGCTTCAGGTTACAGACTCCGCTAACCCAGAAATATTACCTTGGGTTAAGAACTTTGCTTCAGGATGAGAACAGAAATCGTGCTCCAGTGGCGTGGTGGCAGCAGGAGGCCCCATTAGCTAAAGTGGTGCTTCAGGTTAAGAACAGTTTCAGGTTAAGAACGGACCTCCAGAACGAATTAAATACTTAACCCGAGGTACCACTGTACTGGAATTTCCCAGACATAGCCTGCTCAACTACTTTTCTGTACAGATTTTCACTTTTTGAAGTATGACAACCCTACCAGAGTGGCAAGGGCAACCTAGTCAGATGGGCAGGGTATAAATAATAAAAAATTATTATTATTATTATTATTATTATTATTATTATTACTACTACTACTACTGAATAAGGTGTCCCTGCTTTCATCGGAGAAATACTGGACCCATTGGCATGACAAGTACTCTTGCTGCTTGTGACAGGACAATTTGCTGCAGGCTCTCTTAGGGTGTGTTCACACACATCGGCCAAACACAGGGAAGGGTTGGAGCAATCTATCTCAAAGTGGGTGATACCACCCCCCAGGTGTGTGCGCTGGAATGATCCAGGGGGTGGCAGTCGCCTCAGGTGCAACTGGGGGATGTTGAATAAAAATAAGGGGGCGATGGAAGCATAAAGAAAGGAAAAAAGAGAAAACAAATTTGAAAAATGGTTCCTACGTATTTCATCTGTTGTGTAACGATGCTTATTGCCAGGCTGTGCGTCATTGTGGGACAGTGGCAACGCCTCTCCTGGATCTGGCGGTCATGCTGGAGGTGAGGAGTTTTCCCGGGTTTGGGTAAACCCTTTTCTACTTCAACCAGGCCTAGGAAGTGGCTCACAGCTTGCCTGCCTGTTTACAACATCCTTCTTTACTATGTTGTAGGACCTTGGTAGAAATATAGATACAGTGGAACCTCGGTTGTCAAACATAATTCGTTCTGGAACACCGTTTGACTTCTGAAACGTTCAACAACTGAGGTGCAATGCATGGTTGGCAATTTCAATGGAGAAAATTGAAAAATGCACCCCAGTGTCAGGAGCCGTCCTACTCTCGAGTAGGACCCTGGCAGAGACACATGCCCGACTGGCATGTTCTCTCCCTCCTGGTCAATCGTTCGGGAGCTTCAAATGCTTTCTTCTGCCTGAATATCACAGCGACTGATGCCTTGGAGACATCAGCACACTTAGGGATCCACAGAGTCTTCACAGCTTGCGTAACAGACCTCAGCAACTCAGCATTATGGCTAATCTAC